CCTACTACTACTACTACTACTACTACTACTACTACTACTACTACTACTACTACTACTACTACTACTACTACTACTACTACTACTACTACTACTACTACTACTACTACTACTACTACTACTACTACTACTACTACTACTACTACTACTACTACTACTACTACTACTACTATTACTACTACTACTACTACTATGACGACGACGACTACTACTATTCTAGACGCTTCGCGTATCCCCACCAGCCCGTCCAGAAACGACGCCCAGGCGAGTAGAGGGTCGTCCTGAGTGGCTTGTCGGCGTCTTGGGTGCCTCAGGGGGGCCTCTGTGGGCCGTTCGGGATCCTCTTTGGGGCTTCCTGGGCGCCTCTTGGGGCCTCTTGGGGCCATCTTGGGGCCTCTGGGAGCACCTTGGGTGCCTCTGGGGGGTCTCTTGGGGCCTCTTGGGGGTCTCTTGGGGGCCTCCTGGGGGCCTCTTGGGGGGCCTCTTGGGGCCATCTTGGGGCCATCCTGCGGCCTCTTGGGGCATCCTGGGGGCCTCTCACGGCCATCGTGGAGGAAATCGATCAAAGAAGAGGGGAGCTTTAATTAGCCCTGCCCCCTCAGAAGGCCAAAATGGTGCCAAAACCATAGTAAAATCAATGAGTTTGGCTTCCTCGCCGAGGCCGTTTTGGACGCTCTGACCGCTCCCCGCCCCTCCTGTCCAGGTTAGTGGGGAGGGGGTAGGGGGAGGGGTAAACCCCTCCCCGAAGGGGAAGAGGGAGGGGTGGAAGAGGAAACCCCTAAACCACCGACGCCCAGAGGGCTGGTGGGACTACTGCTACTACTACTACTACTACTACTACTACTACTACTACTACTACTACTACTACTACTACTACTACTACTACTACTATTACAACTACCACCACTACTACTACTACTACTACTACTACTACTACTACTACTACTACGACTACTACTAATAATAATAATAATAGTACTACTGCTGCTGCTGCTGCTACTACTACTACTACTACTACTACTACTACTACTACTATACTACTACTACTACTACTACTACTACTACTACTACTACTACTACTACTACTACTACTACTACTACTACTACTACTACTACTACTACTACTACTACTACTACTACTACTACTACTAACTACTACTACTACTACTACTACTACTACTACTACTACTACTACTACTACTACTACTACCACTACCACTACCACTACCACTACCACTACTACTACTACTACTACTACTACTACTACTACTACTACTACTACTACTACTACTACTACTACTACTACTACTACTACTACTACTACTACGACTACTACTACTACTACTACTACTACTACTACTACTACTACTACTACTACTACTACTACGACTACTACTACTACTACTACTACTACTACTACTACTACTACTACTACTACTACTACTACTACTACTACTACTACTAGTACTACTACTACTACTACTACTACTACTACTGCTGCTGCTGCTGCTGCTACTACTACTACTACTACTACTACTACTACTGCTAACTATTTGTGCTGTCATTAAAACTGCCACTACTACTTCTTGTTCTGTGTATTCTACTACGGCAGGTTGTATGACTGCTACTCTCACAACCGTTCATTTGAGTGCTCCTGCGAAGACCGAAGTGGTGCCAATTCCAACTCTCGCACGTATGCTGGCTTCCAGAATAGACGCGGTGGCACAAGAAGGGTCACTTGGTTTTTACACTTGTCTTGAACCGCTCTCTATATTGTTTCTTATTGTGGGCTTATCTTCCATTGGCTGGGATGAGGACCATCTTGCTTTTCGTGCGGATTGGGATTGGTACCAGTCGGTTGGGATTGGGACCAGTCGGTTGGGATTGGGCCGACATGCGGTCTGGTTTCCCGGATTCCATGCGCCTCTTCTTATTTCAATACGTCCCCGCCCGGGCACGCACGTTCCACTGGGGCCATGATTTGCGCCCCCCCCCTCCCTGGACGCCCCCCTCTTGGACGCCCCCGAGGAGGGCGCGCGCCCGGCTCCCTCCCCGGCTGCGCCTAGCGCAGGCCGCGCGCACCCGGTGGCGATCAACAAGAGGATCTTCGGGGCTCAAGAAACGGGGGTCATTGCAAATGGGGGTCAGCCAGAGCGCCGGTTCTTGCAGGATTCTGCAGAGCCAGAGAGTGCATTGACCCGGGCCGGCGTGGAGGATCCTGTAGGATTTTGCAGGATCTTGCAAAGCCTGACTGGCCCAGATTTGGATTGACCCGGGTCAGTAGATCCCCGAGACCTCTTGGCACGCCCGAAGAAGTGCCCTGAGATCCTGGCGCCCCAATTTCTTCGAGGGCCGGGCGTTATGGCCCAGTTTCGGGCCTTGGGGGGCCCTCACAGATCGACCCGGCTCGAATAATGCCGCGTGCAGGAAGATGGGGTCAAAGGTTACAGTCGTGATTTTCCACAATGCTTCAATTTGTTTCGCGACGTCTGATTTCAGGAGAATCGCATCGGGAGAACCTGGGCACGATGCCCAACAGGAGATTGCTTGTTTTCAGGATATGGCAATAGCCCGGGTTATCGGGCCCGCCCGGCCTTTCCCAAATCCCCCAAGATAACCTGACCGTGTCGGTTGCGCGGGTCCGAGGGGGGTGCGCGATACTGGTGCTCGCGGGCAGACGTGGGGCTCCCAAAGAGAAACGGTTTGATTGTAGGCCGACCTTCCCCCCCCCCTCCACACCGGATAGCCTAGATCGTCGGCGAAAAATAGAAGGCCGCCTACCCAACAGCGGCCGTTGTTGGGCAGGCGCTTTTTCGTCTCAAACGGACAACGTGCGCGGCGACGCCGACGGCGAGTTCTGTGTAGAATGAACAGGACGTGCTGTCGGCCTTTGCACCAATTCGTTCCGTACCCGTGTCGATCGCCCCGATTCTCGAGAAGCCAGAGTCGGCATTCACATAGATTGTCATAGCTCCGCACGGACTTCTCGGATCTGGGTTGCGCCCCCCCCTGGCGCCGCCTCTGGGGCCGCCTCCGGCGCGCCCCTGCGCGCCAGGCAGGGAGCGCCAGCGCAGATCCAGGAGCTCCGCGCGGAGCTCCGAAAGTTCGTGTCTGCGCACTCCTCGACAGGATCATCCAGGCCGCCGACTCGGGCCACGCGCAGCTGCTGCTCGCCGCCATAGGTCACTACAGGGGCGGCGTCCAGGGGGGATCGGCTCAGGGGGGAGCGCATCGACCCCCAAACGCCCACTGATCGCCGACGGGGGCCCGATGGTCCACCCCGCCTGGGGACGTGCGGATTCTCCATCGCGGGCCTGTCGCCGATCGATCTGCGATGTATAGCCGAGTCCAGTTCGATGGTTGGCCCCGTGAGCCAGTCGAGGAAGGTCTTTCTCTGACCAGTTGGGGCCTTTGCATCCCAGTTAGGGCTTCCTGTGTACGTCGGTGGGGCTTGATGTATATTAGGAAGCATTTGGGACACGGGATTCTTTAGGGCCCCAAGGAATCCTGAACCACTCTTCACAGATTCCTGAGGATCCCTCAGGATGCGTGAGGCATGCCTGAAGGATTCCTGAGGGATCCCTGAGGAATACCTGAGGGATTCCGCAGGGATTCCTAAAGGACTCCTGATGAATATCTGATGGCTTCCTGAGTGCATTCGATCGATTCCTGATGGATTCCTGAAGACTCTTCAGCGAATTCTAGAGGATTCCTGAAGATCCAGAGTACTCCTGAGGACTCCTTGGGATCTCAGAGGACTCCTGAAGTCTGAGGGATTCCTGAGGATTCTTGAGGTTACATTGCATCTTGGGGGGACCTCGCCTGTCCCCACAATTGGTGTTTTTTCTTGCGCCCGATGCGGGCTTGATGCGGACTCGACGCGGATTTGGCGCGGACTCGACGCGGATTCGACACGGATTTGACACGGATCCGACGAGTCCGACATGCATTCGACACGGACTCGACGCGGATAGGGCCGCGACGGGACAGACAAGGTCCCCCGAGGATACAACATAAGGTTCCTGAAGTCTGAAGGATTCTTGAGGATTCTTGCGTCAGTGTGTGAGGACAATTCTTGAGGGCGACTCTTGAGGGCGATTCCTGAGGGCCCGCGGAGGGCGATTCATCGTCAGCGCGTAAGAGAGAGGCTCTTGCGCAGCGACCCAAGACCTGCTGGAGGTATTCACATGCCCCCGCATGCATTCCACACGGGATTCGATACCATGCCGGGGTCCTTCGCGCGGGCATGTTGCACCGCCCGATAATGATGATTGTGTGCACGGCAAGGATCAGAGGAGGAGAAGGTACCCTTACCTCTACCATTCTCTCGTTTCCCTTTTTTGGGCCTCCTGGGAGGCCCTCGTCGCTACCGCTGGATTCGCCTCGAAATCCTGGTCAGAGCACGGCCTGGGAGAGGTCTGGGGAGTAGCGGTATCGGTACCTCTTGGCTTCCCCAGATATTGTCCACGGCAAGAATGATGTGGATAATATTGGTAGTGGTGTTGATAATGGGGAAGGTGATCATAGCGATCACGATTATAATTGCAATGACCGTGGTGATGATGCAGACAGGGATGGTGATGGTAACGATGATGATGATGGTGATGATGATGATGAGGAAGATGATGGCAATGATAATGGCAACTATTGTGATAATGGTGATGGTGATGTTGATGCTGATGGTGATGTTGATGATGACGTAAGCTGCAGCTTCGCTGCGAGAGGGCATGGAACGATTGTGTGGACGGTGTTGCTTGAGTGGCGTTGAGTTGCATTGATCTGCTCTGCTCTGGTGTGTTTTGCATTGATCCGCATTGTGCGACATGGTTTTGCATTGCTTTGGCATGCGCTGCTGCGTTCGAAAGTTCGGGGTCTACGCACAGACCGCTAACACGTGATGACGTATCCGCAAATTTTGGTGGACACACAAATCCCATAATAGGAATTCAGAGCATATGTATTAATTCATATTATTCGCCATCGCAACACCGCTTTATTTCTGAATCAAAAATACGGGCTCTGTTACATCGTCTTACCGTTTGAATGTAGTCAATTGGTCTCACGAAGATCTTCGGGTCACAGAGCCCTAGCGGTGTGTACAGAGAAGTCCGCAGCGGGGATACAGAAAGGACAACCTGGTCACGTCAAGTGCCGATCGCGAGCCAGTCCCCCTTTATCGCTGCTCCTCGATGAGGGGCGCACCTCCCGTGCATGAACGTGGTGAACCTCGCGACCTCCCTGTTCCGCCTCGCCCGGCTCGCGGCTGCCCAGCCTGGGTTGCAGGCATCGCTGCAGCGCAGCCTCACGCTGCTGGAGCTGCTGCAGGCGATCGAGGCCAGGTTGCCGGCCGCAGACTCCCAGGACGCTGTGTTGCCGCAGTCGATCAGCAACATATCCTGGTCGATGGCCATCCTCGGTCTGCCCCGGCCTCACCTGCTCGAGCTGCTCGCTGGCCTCGCGGTGGCCGCCATGCCCCAGTTCAAGGACTACGAGCTCTCCTCGATGCTGTGGGCCTTTGCGAAGCTCGGGGCGGGCACGGCGGCGAGGGAGGCCACTGGCTCCCTCTTCTGGGCCGCCGCCGCGCACCTCGGCGGGCGGCTGCCGAGCGTGCAGATGCGGACCCTGGTGACGGTCGTGTGGTCCTTCGCGACGTGCCGGGTCAGGCACCCCGTGCTCTTCAGGGCGGTGGCGGCAGAGATGTGCGGCAAGAAGGCGGGGCAGACCGACGGCCGCGAGGTCTCCAACACCATCTGGGCTTTCGCCACGGCGGGCGTGAGGGACCAGGGCCTCATGCGGGCCCTCGGAGACGTGGCCGAGAGGACGCTGTGCACGTTCAAGCCGCAGGAGGTCTCGAACACGCTGTGGGGCCTCGCGACCCTGGGCTTCCACCGCCCCGCCCTCCTCGAGCACGCCTCGAGGCTGCTACCGGCCATGGACCTCGACCCGCAGCACCTGGCCAACATCCTGTGGGCGGCCGCCACCAGCGACAGGGACGCCAGAGCGGTGGCCCGCACCGTGGTCACAGCGCTGCTGCCCCGCTGCCGCGCCTGCTGCCGTGCGTTCAAGCTAGAGGAGGCGTCTTCTGTGCTGATGGCGCTCTCGAGGGCGTTCGGGCGCGACCGCGCGGGAGAGCTGGCGGGGCCGGGCGCGCCGCCCGATGCGTTGAAGCTCTGCGCCATGCTCGAGCAGACGATGCTGCCGCACGTTGGCTCCGTCCCGGCCCAGTCGCTGTGCCGCATCCTGGAGTCTCTCGCGGCCTTGGGGCTCGAGGACGGCCCGTTGGCCACGGCGCTGGAGCGAGAGGCCAGGCGCCGCGCTCCCAAGCTGCCCGCGACAGGGCTCGTCTTGCTGCTGAAGGGCCTGCTGGCTGTCCGCGGCACTAGCGGCGCTGCCCTGAGCTGCGTCGCATCCTGCCTGGCGAGAGAGTGCCCCATGCAGCAGCAGGAGGTGTCCTTCCTGCAGCACGTGCTCCAGCAGCAAGGGCTGTGGCGCTCGAGCCCGTGCCTCGCGGACCGCCTGCGCGAGCTGGCATGGCGCGCGGCGGCCGGCGGCGAGGAGGTGGCGACGAGGGGCGCTAACGGTGGCGCACAGCGCGCGCCGTCGCGAGCCTCCGCGCGGGCGAGGGGCACCGTGCCGGCGCAGGAGACGGGCTGCGGCGGCCCTGGCCCTGCAGGGTGGTGCGGCAGCGGGGGCCGCCGCCGAGGCGCCCCGTCTGTGCGCCCCGCGGCGACGCCGAGCCAGCGGCAGGCTGACGAGGACATCGATGAAGACCTCACTCGGCCAGCGCCGTGGGGTCGCAGCGCCACTGCTCCCGCGAACATGGACGAGCCCGCGAGGTTCCCGCACGTCCGCTGGTGCCGCCAGTGGTCGGACGGCAGCGCCGCCGCGTCCACCGCGGTGCCGACTGTCGAGAACCTTGTACACTTCGCGTCGAGTATGAGCGATGTGAGCGAGGAGTCGTGCCCCGTCGAGGCGCTGGGCGAGCTGGCGGAGCACTGCCCGGAGGCGCCCGCTTTCGCCAGGCACACCACTGAGCCAGCTCTCCGGCCGCCGGCCGACGCCCTGGAGACCTACCGGGTGAGGAACACCTTCCTCGAGAAGGTCGAGCTCCCGGGCGAGGGGCGCGCCGGCAGGTCCCGTGCAAGGTCGGAGCCGCCGCCTGTTGCCGCATGAAGCCCGCACAGCGAGGTTGCCCGCATGGAGGAGGGATGGGCAGTGAGGGTCAAGATGTGGAGAAGCGTCCTGACTCGCCAATAGGCCCACCAAACAATGTTATCCGAATTTTGTTTGGTGTGCACGAAATGTTCACAGAACATGTCGGACTGAGACAGTAATGGGGGCAAGCGATTAAGAACATGCCCCCCCCCGGTCCCGAGACCCCGACCTGAATGAGAGGGGCGGCGCATTAGAATTCAGCCGCCAGAAGCTGTTTTCTTAATCGTCTGCCCCCCCAGCGTTTTATTTTGCCGCCTTGCGGGAACTGATTTTCTATTCGTCCTCCTGCGTTCGTTTGATCACCCGCGGCCGCGGGAGGAGAGGGGGCGCTGGAAGCGCCGCTGGGAGGTCCCAGCGCAGATCCAGGAAATCCACGGAGGACCGCCGAAAGCAGTTCTTTCACCCCGACTTAAGAACCAACCTGAGGACGGCCCAACTGTCGTCCTCGTGGATGGCGGTTGGAGCTTGAAAATGAGGCCAACGCTGCCGCGGGAGCAGCGTGTCGGAAGAACCGAACAAGTTCGGATTGAACAACAGATATGAATAACACATACCCCCAATTCTCTGTGTATGAACACAGCGCGCGTGAGGATTCGAACTTAGCGGAAGCTCGAAAATGAGGCCAGCGTTGCAGCGGGAGCAACATTTTGCAAGAACCGAACACGTTCCGATTGAAAAAGCAACTATGAGAAACGGATTTGCGCCAAACCTGTGTGTAACTAAAAACACAATACGCGGAGGGGTGCAGGCAATCTTCCGGAGTGCACCAGGGGAGAACGGGGAATAGTGTTCATATTGAACAACTGTAGAGGAACAGTAATTAGCAGGGGGAAGGTGACAAGGGAGAGGAAAGCGAGGGGAAGGAAGAGGAGGAGGACGAGGAGGAGGAGGAGGAGGAGGAGGAGAATAGGAAGAGGAGGTGGGGAAGGAGGTCGCTTTTTGAAGGCGGCGCAGAATGTCTGCCTTCCGCGCAGGACTGGCGGGTCATAAATTTCTACTTCCCATTTCGGGCTGACCAAAATCAGCCCTCGCGGCCTCGAATTGTCCGCCCCTGCGGATTCGAATCGTCAGCCCGCGAAGTCCTTCCCAGCTTCTGCTTGCCCGGCTCCGAATGAACCCCCTGCCCCACCGCCCTGAACTGTCAGCCCGCGCCTGCCCCGCCCCCGGGCTTCCGGACAACCCGGGATTATCCGCCTTCCGTCTGCCTGCCCCGCCCTCCCGCTATTGCCGTGGCGCGAAGGCCTGCGAAGCTGTTTGTTTAATCTTCCGCACCCCAAAAAAGTTTTCTTTTTTTTATAAAAAAAAACTATATATATATATATATATAAAAATCGCTTGCTCCCATTATTGTTCCAACGCGCTTAAAAATTACAAGAGAATGTCATTTATTATGCGGACATTCCCCAATTAGGTTTGTTTAGAGGCTTCTTACTTTGTTACAGGTTGGCGTCTCGGAATATTACTTTGCCCGTTCCTCGGAGATTCCTCGGGTTCCTCGGGTTCCCCGCCCCCGGTGCCTCCTATTGTTACGTTGCCCGTTTCCCGCAGGTTCCTCGGGTTCCCCGGCTCTGTTTCCTTACAAGGGCCTTGGGTTCCCCGGTCTTGTTCTTCTGGGTCTTTGGTCTTGCTTCTTGTCTGGGTTCCTCGGGCTCTCCGTTTGTTCCTTGTCATGGTTCCTCGGGTTCCGCGGTATTTTTCTCGTTTTTCCGAGGCTCCCCGGTCTTGTTTTTTGCTTGAGTTCTTCGGGTTCCTTGGTCTTGTCCTTCGGGTTCCCCAGCATTGTACAGCAATGCTAAGCAACGTCAATCACAGCCAAGCAGTACAAAGCAATGCCAATCCATGCGAATCAATGCCACGCAATGCCAAGCAACGCCACGCGATGCCAAACAGTGCCAAACATTACCATGCAACGCCAAGCACTGCAAAGCATCGCCAAGCATTGCCAAGCAATGCCAAGCAACGCCGAACAGTGCGCCCAGGATTTGTTCCTTTCATTGGGGTCGCGCCGGGCTCATTCAGCGTGTCCCCGGTTCCGTTCGGTTCGTTTCGGTTCGGGGGAAATTGGTTCGGTTCAATACGGTTCCGGTTTCGGAGCTGTTCGAGGCGGTTCCCATTCAGAGGGCGGTTCCGTTTCAGCCGGTTCCATTTCGGCTTTCGGTTTTTGCAGATGACGTGTGCGCGTGCGCGTCTACATGATCATATGGAGGCGTTGGAGGTTTAGTTCAACCAGGAGTCAGGAGGAACCCTGCCAGGGGAGCCACTGGGCCCAGCTACCCGACGACGAGCTGGGGGAGCCACTGGGCCCAGACGTTACTCATGGTGCCCTCGACGGACCAGTCGACAGCATCGTGCCCCCTGGGCGGGGGGGCTGTGGCGACAGCGGGGGATTCCTCAGCGCCAGGATAGAAAACCCTTGGACTACCGGTCTGGGACAGTACGGACCACTCACTCCTGGCATGGGTCATCCCAAAGGACAAGTGGGAAGGCAAGGGCGCCGCCCGCGCCCTCACCGGGCGCGCGCAGGATGGTGGAGGCCCAGCCGTGGCCGCCGTCCCCAGTTCGGCCCTGGTGGCCCCGAGGACCCCCGGAAGCCCAAAGCGCATTTTCGAACCGTCCAAACATGCGATTTAAGCTTTTCCGCCGCCCTTCCGTCCCCAGTGCAGCTCGGGAGGCTCCGAAAAACACCTGGAGGCTTTCGAACCGTCCAAAAATGCGATTTGAGCTTTAGCGCCGCCCTGCCATCCCCAGAGCGGCCTTGGAGGCTCCGAAAACCACCTGGAGGCCCAAAACGCATTTTTGAACCGTCCAAAAATGCGATGCGAGTTTTTCCGCCGCCCTTCTGTCCCTAGTTCGGCCCTGGACAAGCAGCAAAACAGGAAGAGGGAACTCGGGCGCGCAGGGTAGGAGTTGGGAGCGGGTGAGATGGACCTAGTGCAAGAGTGGGCGCTCGCATCGGGCAGTTCCCAAGTGTCCACCTCCACGACCGGTTCCTGCTTCGGGCCCGGTTCGGTTCTACCGCCTCCAGTTCGGTTTGGTTTCGGTTCACGTCGGGTTTCTGACGGGTTCCGGTTCCGTCGGTTCTCCCCCGGTCGGTTCGGTTCTGTGGTTCGTGGTTCGATTTTGTGGTTTACTGCTCATTCTTTAGTTCTAAATACATGTCGTGATCGGCTTATAGGAATGCCTGCATGGTCGGGGAGCCCGCGGCGGTTCGTGGAAGCCTGGCCTGCGTCGGCGTGTTACCGCCCTCTCCCTGACCCTCCTGGCGGGTCCTCGCGGCCACGGTCCAGCGTGGCTCGAAATTGGGCGCTTCAGAAGCTGCGCTGCCTTCGAGGGGCCGAAGGAGTTGGCATCTCTTTCTGGCAGAAGACCTGCGGAAGCCAAAGACGTGCCCCCACGAGACGGTCGTGTGTTGGGCTTCGGACTCCCCGGCGCCCCCTGAATAGTGGCCAGGGCCTCGTGAAGGTCAGGAGGGGAAAATACACACAGACACAATTCATCGTCGACTCCCAGGCAAATTACAGGAAGCGGGGGGGGAAGACGAATATCCAGAACATATGGGCAAACAAAAGGAATCCTGGCATTTGTGTGTTTGTGTTTGTCTGTCCCTGGGCTCCTTTATAAACCGTGGCCAGGGCCTCCGGAAGGGCCCCCGTGGCCACGGGCGGACGAAGCTCGAAGAGCGCCCTGGCAGGCCGAGGTTGAGTCTGAGGTCGGTCCAAGGCGTCCTGGAACGCTCTCAGAGCATTCCGCATCGCTCTGAAACGGCTGCGGCGTCCACTGCATCCTCTGGACCCGCCGATTCTCAGAGATTTCCCGATCCGTCCTCATCCGAAGGTACAGTCAACCCGCACAGCATGGATGAATTATCCCGGCAAAGCAACCGAACAGCGATGTGTGTATAAGCATATCTGCAAGCATTCCCCTGAAGATTCAGGTGAGAATCCAGTTGTAGACTTCTGCTGTTCTCGCAGTCGCAGTCGCATTCGCAATGACAGTCGCAGTGGCAATGGCCTTAGGATCAAATGGAGTCCTGAGGATTCCTAGGGATTCCTAAGGCATCCTTAGGCATCCTTAGGAATCCTAAGGATTCCTAAGGGTTCCTGAGGATGCTTAACTATGCCTACGGATTCCTAAGGATGCCTACGGATTCCTAAGGATTCCTAGCGATTCCTAAGGATTCCTATGTACTCCTACGGATGCCTCAGCCTGCCTCAGTTTCAGCCTCAGCCTCAGCCTGCATCGGTTTGCCTCAGCCTCAGCCTCAGCCTGCCTCGGCTTCAGCCTCAGCCTGCCTCAGCCTCAGCCTCAGCCTGCCTCGGCCTCAGCCTGCGTCAACCTCAGCCTCAGCCTGCCTCAGCCTCAGCCTCAGCCTCAGCCTCAGCCTGCCTCGGCTTGCCTCAGCCTCAGCCTCAGCCTGCCTCTGCCTCAGCCTGCCTCGGCCTCAGCCTGCCTCAGCCTCCCCTCCCCCCCCCCCTTCCCCCTTCCCCCCCCATTCAGCCTCACCTTGTCTCAGCTTCGGCCTGCCTCGGCCTCATCCTCAGCCTCAGCCTCAGTCTCAGCCTCAGCCTGTCTCGGCCTGAGCCTGCCTCGGCCTCAGCCTCAGCCTGCCTCAGCCTCAGCCTGCCTCAGCCTCAGCCTCAGCCTCAGCCCTCAGCCTCAGCCTCAGCCTCAGCCTGCCTCAGCCTCAGCAGCCTCAGCCTCAGCCTGCCAGCCTCAGCCTCAGCCTCAGCCTGCCTCAGCCTCAGCCTCAGCCTGCCTCAGCCTCAGCCTGCCTCAGCCTCAGCCTCAGCCTGCTTCAGCCTCAGCCTCAGTCTGCCTTCAGCCTCGGCCTCAGCCTCAGCCTGCCTCAGCCTCAGCCTGCATCAGCCTCAGCCTCAGCCTCAGCCTGCCTCAGCCTCAGCCTCAGCAGCCTTCAGCCTCAGCCTGCCTCAGCCTCAGCCTCAGCCTCAGCCTCAGCCTCAGCCTCAGCCTCAGCCTCAGCCTGCAGCCTCAGCCTCAGCCTGCAGCCTCAGCCTCAGCCTCAGCCTGCCTCAGCCTCAGCCTCAGCCTCAGCCTCAGCCTCAGCCTCAGCCTCAGCCTCAGCCTCAGCCTCAGCCTCAGCCTCAGCCTCAGCCTCAGCCTGCCTCAGCCTCAGCCTCAGCCTGCCTCGGCGTGCCTCAGCCTCAGCCTCAGCCTGCCTCGGCCTCAGCCTGCCTCGGCCTCAGCCTGCCTCGGCCTCAGCCTGTCTCAGCTCGGGCATTCAAAATATGGCACAGGACTGGTGCTTGGGAACACGAAGATCACGAAGTGGCCCACAGTTGGCTCTGGGCAATCAAAATATGGTACAGGAATGGTGTTCTGGGAACACGAAGAACACGAAGTGGCCTACAGTTGGCTCTGGGCATTCAAAATGTGGCCTGGGAATGGTGTTCTGGGAAGACGAAGAACACGAAGTGGCCTACAGGTGGCTCCGGGTATCCCAAATGTGGCCTGGGAATGGTGTTCTGGGAAGACGAAGAGCACGAAGTTGCCTACTGGTGGCTCCGGGCATTCAAATGTGGCATGGGAATGGTGTTCTGGGAAGGCGAAGAACACGAAGTGGCCTACAGCTGGCTCCGGGCATTCAACATGTGGCCTGGGAATGGTGTTCTGGGAACACGAAGAATAGGAATCCATAGGAAACTGTAGGAATATATAGGAGTCCTGGGGAGTCCCCGGGTTCCCCGGCTTCTCCCCCCTGGGGAGTGAAGATGCTTTCTTTTGAGCCCACTAGAAACCTATCAGTCTTCGCTGTTCGGTAATAATTATCCCAGCAAAGCAACCTAACAGCGATGTGTATAAGCATATCTGGAAGAATTTCCCCTGAATATTCAGGTGAGAGTCCAGTTGTAGAATTATGCTGTTCTCGCAGTCGCAGTCGCATTCGCAATGACAGTCGCAGTGACAGTCCTAGGGATTCCTAAGGCATCCTTAGGCATCCTTGGGAATCCATAGGAATCCTTAGGAAACCTTGGGAATCCTTAGGAATCCTGATTCCTAGGGATTCTTAGGGATTCCTGTGGATTCCGAGGGAATCCTAAGGATTCCTAAGGATTCCTGAGGATGCTTAACTATGCCTACGGATTCCTAAGGATGCCTACGGATTCCTAAGGATTCCCAGGGATTCCTAAGGATTCCTATGGACTCCTACGGATGCCTCAGCCAGCCTCAGCCTCAGCCTCAGCCTCAGCTTGTCTCGGCTTGCCTCAACCTCAGCCTCAGCCTGCCTCGGCCTCAGCCTCAGCCTGCCTCAGCCTCAGCCTCAGCCTGCCTCGGCCTCAGCCTGCCTCGGCCTCAGCCTGCCTCAGCCTCCCCTCCTCCCCCCCCCTCCCCCCCTTCCCCCCCCCATTCAGCCTCACCTTGTCTCAGCTTCGGCCTGCCTCGGCCTCATCCTCAGCCTCAGCCTCAGCCTCAGTCTCAGCCTCAGCCTGTCCTCGGCCTGAGCCTGCCTCGGCCTCAGCCTCAGCCTGCCTCAGCCTCAGCCTGCCTCAGCCTCAGCCTCAGCCTGTCTCAGCCTCAGCCTGCCTCAGCCTCAGCCTCAGCCTCAGCCTGCCTCGGCTTGCCTCGGCCTCAGCCTCAGCCTGCCTCGGCCTCAGCCTCAGCCTCAGCCTGCCTCAGCCTCAGCCTCAGCCTGCCTCAGCCTCAGCCTGCATCAGCCTCAGCCTCAGCCTGCCTCAGCTGCAGCTTGCCTCAGCCTCAGCCACAGCCTCAGCCTCAGCCTCATCCTGCCTCAGCTTCAGTCTCAGCCTCAGCCTGCCTCAGCTTGCCTCAGCCTCAGCCTCAGCCTGCCTCAGCCTCAGCCTCAGCCTCAGCCTGCCTCAGCCTCAGCGTCAGCCTCTCAGCGTCAGCCTGCATCAGCCTCAGCCTCAGCCTCAGCCTGCCTCAGCCTCAGCCTCAGCCTGCCTCAGCCCCAGCCTGCCTCAGCCTCAGCCTCAGCCTGCCTCGGCCTCAGCCTGCGTCAGCCTCAGCCTCAGCCTGCCTCAGCCTCAGCCTGCCGCAGCCTCAGCCTCAGCCTGCCTCGGCGTGCCTCAGCCTCAGCCTCAGCCTGTCTCGGCCTCAGCCTCAGCCTCAGCTCGGGCATTCAAAATATGGCACAGGACTGGTGTTCTGGGAACACGAGGATCAGGAAGTGGCCCACAGTTGGCTCTGGGCAATCAAAATATGGTACATGAATGGTGTTCTGGGAAGACGAAGAACACGAAGTGGCCTACAGTTGGCTCCGGGCATTTAAAATGTGTCCTGGGAATTGTGTTCTGGGAAGACGAAGAACACGAAGTGGCCTACAGGTGGCTCCGGGCATTCAAAATGTGGCCTGGGAATGGTGTTCTGGGGGGGAATCCATCGGAAACTATAGGAATCTAAAAGAATCCTGGGGAGTCCCCGGAGTCCCCCGGGATCCCCCGGCATCCGCCCAGACCCCCCTGGGGAGTCAAGATGCTCTCTTTTGAGCCCACTAGAAACCTAACAGTCTTCGCTGTTAGGTAACTTTCCAGGGTTACCCTTGCATTCTTCCCCTTCGGCCCATCCTTGACCGCTTTCGCTGGCCGCGCCCAGCCCGCAGAGTGTCGACACGGCCTTCCACGGCCCTTGCATCCTTATCGTGCGTCTTTATGCCACGGATTGACTGTACACGCCAGTCGTTGGAAGTAGGTACTTCTGGACTCCCAGATCCCAATCTACTTAAAGCGCCGCCCTACTTCAAGAATCGGCATGCTGCTGTCATGTCTTATTATTCTCTGGGAGGGCCCGAACCCAATCTACTTAATCCGCCTTCCTACTTTATGTCTTTACATTCTTCTTCCGACCGACGTTTACAGTCAAGACGCTGAAACAAGGAACAGTTTGGTACGAAAGGGGCGTTGTGTTCCTTAGGTCATTATGTGGTTGTTCCTCTAGCCCTCCTCGTGCACGCTGGCGCTTTTGGGGTGCCAAAAGCGGGCTTCGTTCCTTATTGACCATTCCTTACTTCAGCGGCCCGACGTGCATCCATATGACTGTTTCCCCCGCGCGGCCGCTCCCTCTTCTCCTCCTCACCCTCCTGCACGCCGGGCAATTTGCCGATCGGTGCCCCCGATTAGCCGCACGTTGGTGCGGATCGCCTCTGCCTCGCCGCCGACGGAAAAAAGTGTACCCCCAGGCGCACGACGTCGTGATTTTGTCACGACGTCGACCCCCAGAGGTCTGGACCTCTTCCCCAGGACCGGTTTTGCATCCTGAGATGTTTTTGACCCGGTAGGTGTCCGCGAAAAACGGAAATGTAAAGCAAATTCCCGTCGTATTTTTTTCACTAGGTGAGGGGTCTGAGTCCCCATCCCGCCCTCGCCTTCGGCGGGCCCGGCTGGACCCTGGGGCGGGCCCCGGGGTGCCGGTCCTGCGCGGAGTGTCCTGGGGGCCCTGGGGCGGCGCGAGGGGGGCCGCTTTCGGCGGAGGCGGGCCGGGGGGGGCCGTAGGAGGGGCCCTCCCGCCGTCGGACCCGCAGGCCTTCCTCTTGGCATCGCTCGGACGTGTGCGTTTTTCTCGGCGAGGATCTTCGAGGAGCCTCCTCGACCACTGGGCCCCAAAAACACGCACGAGACCGAGAAATGCACAGGGAAGGGACGTCCGAGCGACGGCGAGTCCTGGAGAGCCACGACGTGGCAAGAAGGACCACTTTGGGGTCAAGAGGGGCTCGTTTTCGGGTCGATTCTTATCGGGGGAGCACAGGATTCGAGTAGTACGCCAGACCCTGGGCTTGCCGACGTCTTTGACGAGCGCGGATTTTGACTGTCCTGTTTTCGTGGGGTGTTTGCAGCGGGAACTCGCGTCAAATTTCAGACGGCGTCTCGTCATCTTCATGATGGTCCCGTCAGGCCAACCCGAGTTCCCCGAACCCGCGTTTTAAGTCTCCCCGATAGACCCAGGTCGGGGAACCCACTCGGAGCCGATGCTCGCCGTGGCCAGAAAAGCCCCTTCGCGTTTTGTTCAGCGTTCCTTCTGGTAGCACGATGGCTGAAGAAGCCCACGGTAGGTTCGCGTCGTGTCGACCAGCGGCGACCCCGCCGCCGATGTCGGACGCTCTGACGTTTCGAAAACGGCCGATCGTTCAGGATTGAACAATCCCCGCGGCGTTAGGAACTTACGCCAGGGTCGTCACGACACGAACCTGCCGCATGGCCCCTTCTGTGCTGGCCCCCTTGCCTCCTTGGAGTGCCCCCTTCCTCGCCCCGCCCCCCCTTCCGAGGAAGCGCAGGCATGGATTCGGGTGCGCAGATTGGCGGCGAGCCCCGCTTCCATACGGAGTCGGCGCGCTCCGTCGCCAAACGCGAAAGCGCTGGCGCCATGTCTCGAGGGGCACTCTCCCCGATCCGTCAATTCGGCGCCCACGCGCCAGATCCACAGATCCCCAGCCCATGCCAGCGTGTGCCCGGCCTGTGCGCGCCGCCGGGAGCTGCACGGGGCTTGGGAGCTGCACGGGGCTCGCGTCTGCGGCGGTCTGGGCGCCGCAGCCCCCTGCGCAGTGTAACATCCTGCGGACATTTTTCAAAAATTCTTGGCGCGCCCGCGTGGCCGAAAAAGGACCCGCTTCCCATTCGGCAGCATTCGCTACAGAATCAAGTCCCCCCTCTCGAGCAAGCTGACACAACACAGGCGTGTTTAACACATGCGCACGGCCGTCTGGGCCACTCCAAGCCGACACGCGGTGCATGCCGCGTGCTGGCGCTCATGTTGCGTACGTTGATGCGGCGCCCCCGCATGCTTTGCAGGCGTTCGGAGACGCCCCCGGCCGTCTAGGCCAGCTGAAGTCGATGCCAAGTGGATGCCTCGAGTGACCACTCTCCATCCTTCCCCTCCTCGACCCCCCCCCTTCTCCCACGCCTCACATTTTCCTCTGCTGCCCGGCGGAGTGCGCCTTTCTGCGTTCGGGCGCCCTGTCGAGCGCAGACGGCATACCGTGTAAGCTCGCTCTCACCGCTGCAGGCCCTTCAGGATCGAGCCCAGACTGATGAGGAGGGGGACGAGAAGGAGGAGAGGCAGAGTTGCACGGATCAGGAGGAGGAGGACGGAGAGGAGAAGCAGGAGGAGGAGGAGGAGGAGAAGGAGAAGGAGGAGGAGGAGCTGCACGGAGCGCGTAATCGCGGCGGGCGCGGTGTCGCAGACGCCCGTGTCCCTTAGTGTTCGTTGATTTTTCAATTCCTGGCTGCGCTTTCCGCACGGGAGAATATGTTCGCGCCTTTGGCGACGGCCGTTGGAGCCACTTCACGCCGAGACGTGGTCCTGCCTGGGCGCCGTTCATCTACGGCCGATGTTGGCCAGTTTCACACTACAGCGGCTCTGCGCGCGCCGTTCGACGCAGGCGGGAAACTCGTATGGCCGATGGAAACCCAAAGCCTTATCGTATTTCCCCTCGTCTTCCTCTTCGTCCTTTTCCTTCTCCGCCCTCGTGTTCCACCTCCTCCTGCCACCTTCTCTCTTTCCCGTTTTCTTCCTGCTCCTCCGCCCTCCTCCTCAACGTATACGGGCAATCTACGAAGGAGCGTCGAAGACGCACACAGCGACTCACCGCCGCACCCCTGCTGTCTGGAAACGCTTGTGTCATGAAGTGTCCAGCGAAAGTGCGGCCACGCCAGTAGACTGCGTGCTCCCCCAGATATTTTTGGGGAAATCACCGGCGGAACACTGGGGAGGGGCCCTCTTGATCAAGGGAGGAAAAACCTCGCAGACCCCGACAACTGGCGTTTGCTAAAGGGCCCTGTGCGTTTACTAAGCAGCCCGGCCCTCTTCGATTCCTTCCCTGGGTGCATTTACTAAACGGCTTCGCCTGTCGAGGTGATTATCATGGGGGTGGGTTTTCTGCCCTCTACTTGGGGCTGTCATGGCGCTCTTGTTGACCCTTCTTTGGGACACCTGAGCAGTATTTGGGTTCTCCTCTTTAGGCCGCCCGACGCCTTCGGCAGCCGTCTTGGAGCCCTCTCGGGACCATTCGGGGCCGTTATGTGGCCCTCTATTGTTAAGCCCTGGCCCTCTGCGGCAGGCCGTCTCGAACATTCTGAAGACCGAACCGGCGAGAACCCGAAAAACAACGAAGCACTTGACGTGTGCTCTACGACGTTCGCCTTTGGGTCCGACCCCGAAGTGACCGCCCCCTCTGGATATTCGTTCTTCGATCAATCATTGGTCCCCTACGGTTGGTCGGCTCTCGATCGTGGATCTTCGGTCTTCTTTGGATCCTCGATCTTCGAATCGGCCCCAGACGAAAAACAAATTCACTCTCTGGCGGCATGCCATGGGGCCAGTCGGGAGGTCTCAAGCGACATCGTCACTGTCGGGTGGCATGCAATGTGACCAGAAACCTGGGTTCCAAGAAGGCTGCAGCGTAAGCGATCTGTTTGGCAACGTGAGATGGGGCCCCAGAGTTTGCTGTTCAGGTCGTCCCACCCGAAGTGCGTATTGTCATGCAGCCTGAGACATCACTGGGTCGTCCTGAAAGGCGACCTGAAAATATAGTGTGGTCCGTACCCGATTTGGTCATGGGCTTCCGCGGCCTAGCGGCAAACGCGCAGTGCTGTTCGCGCGACCTCTGCGGCTCGCATGCGCTGAAATCCAGGGGATTCTCACGGACGTTATTGAGGGGAGTAGAAATTGTTCTCGAATCGAATGGGGGAACGCATAACAAAAACGAGCAAGAGTAATTCATGCAGGATGAGGAGGAGGATCATGAATATAAGTTTGATCTCAAAGAGGATGCCCAAAGGGATGAGGCGCAGGATGAGGAGGAGGGAGAGGAAAAGGAAGCGAGCGTGCATGATGACGAGGAGGAGGAATACGAGGATTAGGACGGCGAGAGGCAGCAACGGTTGCAGTAGCAGCGGAACCATGATCACCAGCAGAACGAGGAGGACCGGAGGAGGAACATGTCTAAGTTCGAAGAGGGAAGGTGGACAACAGACAGAGGGACCTGCACCAGCAGTCATATCAGCTCTTCCGCACTCCATTAGTGCCTGCGGCACGGTAGCGATATTGGTCCGTGGGCAGAGTTAAATGCGCAAGGTTTGGGTAAGTCATTTTTTCCGAGCAGGTTGTGGCAACGTTATGGCAACGTTATGAGTAGGGTTGCGCACACGTCTAACAAATCCCTTCGCTTGTGCTGCATGATGGCCGTCAAAGGTATGTGTGCGCTCAGCTTCGTCCCATGAAAGTCTCCAGGTCGAGATCGTTGATGTTGATCTTGCTCACGCGTGTCCATGTATCGCTTGGCGCCTATGCTCCTCTGCTGGGCGTCTGCCATAGAAGCCAGAGCCCTTTTCTGCCGTTGCTCGGCCGCCCTGGCGCCTGCCTCCCAAGGTGTTCCAGCGAATCGCCGGCTCGCTCTCGGAGGGGCAGGGGTGGGGACAAGGAGGAGGATGAGAAGGAGCAGGTGGAGGAGGAGGAAGATCCCCGACATCTGGGGGCTCGAAAAAAGTCGAGACGACCATTGTCTCGCTATTGGGGCCTCTGGAGACTCGTTTGGGGCCCTAGGGCCCACAGGGCCCCCAGGGCGATCCAAATCTCCTCAGGGTGAAAAGCTGGCCCTTGGGAACAGTCGAGAGGCCCAGAGTTCATGCACCGAGAAAACCTAGCAGCCAGATGCCTTGGAGGACGAACGACGGTTGTACGCATGCGCAGCTCAAGCCACGGCAGCACGCATTGCCACCACTTCCGTTGGCCTGCAGGCACGTTTGGCTGATGCGGCAAACTCACAAAATTGAAATGACGGGCCGTTCCACTCACGTGGCCCGCTCGAGGAATCCAGAATATAAAAATACTGGCATGCCATCATATAGACATTTGCTTCCTGCTCAATCACTGGGCCCGATGGCTCCAGGCAGCACGTCTTGTGCACGCCCTGCAAAACAATCGATACACCGGCGCGTTCATTTGCTGTATAATGCGGGCGACCCAGCAGGCGTGCGAGGTTTGTTCGACGGGTCGCGCTAACATAATCACCCGCTCGGCAGGCTCAGCTTCCCGATCCCTACCCCACGCGCAGCCACCCCTGCGGGGACGGCAGCAGGGCAAGCCTCCTCGTTACCCCTTTGGATTAGGAGGGCGTCGCTCAACCCAATATCCACTCCACTTCATCAGGTCGATACGCAGCTCTCGGTGCCACCTCGGGCCCACAGAGCCCCGTAGACTCGGCACAAGAGGAGCTGATGAGGTCCAACAGAGATAGTTGTTGAGATACCTAGGCGAGACAGCAGGCCACGAGCACGGTGCACACGATGCAGACTGGAGGAGTTGCGCGAGGGCAGTGGCGGACAGCACATGCAGTGCGTTCTCTTTCCCGTGGTCGTAGTCAGACGGTGGCCCTCCTCGAGGCGCAATTCGTCGGCGGCCCTGGCGCCGCAGCCCCCATGCCAGGATGTAGAAGCACTCGCCGCAGGGATGGCAGACGCTGCCAGGGCGGTAGGCACTCCGAGTCGCCCAGACGACGAGCCATGCTCAAACTGCACGTTCGAGAGAGGGACGCAGACAAGGAAAGTGGTTCAGACAGTTCCGCTCTCGTTCTGGCTCGCAAGTCGCAGCCGGCGACCACTCTGGTCTTCACCCTCGGCGCGCCATGCCCCTTGCCGCGGCGCATGGGCGAGGCGTTGGAAACGGAGCAACAAACACTCCGGCAGTGAGGTTAACGCTGGGCGAGGAACATCGAGGAGGTAAATTGACCTTGCGCAGAATTACGATGACGAGGACTTTTGATGGGCGCTTGGTATCATAAGAGAGGTACACTAGCATCCCGCTTGTCTCTTCTACTCCAAGGCCCGGATTTGTAGTGAATGCTTCAATTAGCGTACAATCCCGCTCTCGCGCAAGGGCGTCGGTGACCACGTCGCCTTCCCATGCGCAGAGTATTTCGTCAGTGGCCCTAGCACGGGGGCCCTAGCACGCTCACCACGACATTGCCCGAAGAAGCGCTCAAGTGGACGACAGCACGTCGCGCCCCTGGCCGTTTCCCTCTCCCGCACGTGCAGCGTGAGCATTGCACGTCGTCTGGGCGACTCGGAGTGCCTGCTGGCCTGGTAGCGTCCACCATCTCTGCTACGAGTGCTTCTACGTCCTGGCATTAGGTTGCGGCCGCAGAGCTGTCGACGAACTGCTCCTCGAGGCGGGCCACCGTCTCGCTGCGACCACGGTGAGAAAGACAACGCCCTGCATGTGCTGCCCTCCGCTGCCCTCGCGCATCTCCCCCGTTCTGCGCTGCCTGCTTCACCTCTCCACCGAAGGCGAGAGGTCAACCCTATCGACCCCTCAATGGCATGGCCCATGCGCCTTGTAGCCATGGCCGGTCTATGCCCAATTCGACTAGCAGCGCCCCCGATCAGGCCACGGACGCGGTGCATGATCGCCTCCGTTGCTACCAAAAGTGGCTCCCCGAGGCGTGGGCTTTCCCCTGCGGCATGTTTTCGCACTCGCGCCCGCCAGTTGTGTAGGGAAGCCGTCGCACATCGTTTCACCCCCCCATGGCCGCGCAAATTGGAACGCAGCACTGGAGGCCACGGCCTCGACTACGCATGGAAGCGGAGAAGGGCCGCCGATGCCTCTACCAGGCCTTCCCCAAGGGAGATCATGGTGATGCCGCTGACGCTGCCCAGTGGCTGTGGATGACGGTGATGATGAGGTGATGATGATGATAATGATGATGATGACGATGATGATGATGATCATGATGGTGATGATGATGGTGTGCTGGTGATGAGAATGATGATGCTGATGATGCTGGTGATGGTGATGGTGATGCTGATGATGGTGATGGTGATGGTGATGGTGGTGGTGGTGATGGTAATGATGATGATGAAGATGACCAGGTCCACGATGATGATAATGGTGATGGTGATGGTGATGGTGATGGTGATGGTGATGGTGATGATGATGATGATGATGATGATGATGATGCTAATGATGACTGTGATGGTGATGGTGATGGTGGTGGTGATGATAATGATGATGCTATTGATGATGATGATGGTCATGAGGATGATACTGATAATGGTGATGATGGTGATAATGCTGCTGATGATGACGACGATGACCATGATGATGGTAATGGTGATGATGATGGTGCTGGTGCTGATGATGATGGTGCTGATGGTGACGGTGATGGTGATACTGGTGGTTGTGATTATGCTGATGCTGATGTTGACACTGTTTATGTTGATATTGATGCTTGTGTTGCAAATGATGATGATGATGGTGATACTGATGGCAATGATGATGATGGTGATGATGGTGATGACGATGATGATGATGGTGATGATGATGATGATGATGATGATGATGATGATGATGATGACGGTGGTGATGATGATGACGTTGATGATTATGATGATGATGATGTTGATGTTGCTGCTGATGATTATGATGCTGACGACGATGATGCTGATGCTGATGCTGAAGCTGATGCTGATGCTGATGATGACGATGAAGATCGTATGGGCCATGGTGCTTGTGTATCTCACCGTGCGCATATTGAACGAGCCTTTTTGTCAGTCAGAGGGTCACACATCGGGGCACTCTTCTCCCATGGAAAGGCGGCACTCAGGCGCGAACATGTTTTGCAGACGAGGTCATCTCGACGGCCCGCTTGCTCTTCCTCAGAGTCAAGGGCTCTTCGGCGGCGCTCCGGCGCGCCAGGGGAGAGGGCTGGTTCTACAGTTCGGCATGCGCCTCCAGGCACGGCGGTTCCAGCGCCCAGCGGCCGCGCCTGCCCGGGCAAGCTCTGCCTCCGACGACGGCGCTAAAGACGACGACGACGATCGCGATCACGACGACGACGACGACGACGACGAACGACGACGACGACGACGAACGACGACGACGACGACGAAGAACGACGACGACGGCGACGATCACGATCACGATATCTACTGTCCAATTGCGCTGCCGCGCAGACCCGCCGCCACGCTGCGGAGGGGCGGGCGAGTCGGTCTGGTGGGGGGAAGGGGGCAGGGGCAACGTACGGTCGGACCGAGGCACTAAGATCGAGGTCGGTTCGGGGAGGGGATCCTAATGTTCTTCGTGTTTGTTGGGTGTTCTTGTGCATCCTAGGGGAGGGCACCCTCGAATGTCCTTCAATTTGGGCCGGCGAAGGGTCTGATGTTCTGGAAGGTTGTTCTTCTGTCCTGGGCCCGACTGTAGTCTCCGGGGGGGGGAAATGGATCGACCCCAAACGCTCACTAATCGCCGATGGGCGCCTGATAGCCCACCCTGTCCAGGAGCGCCCGGTCTCGCCACCGAGGGCCATTCGGCGCTCTATCCCCGATTCCAGCTCGATGTGCTGCCCTCCTTGGCCCATGCCCCTCTTGGCGTTTTCCCCCAGGCAGTGGCAGGGGTGAGGGGCGTCCGCGATCCCCCCACCAAAAGCTCTGTCGTTTGCTTCGTTCTTGCTGCGAAGGACTACTGAGCGCAGCAGGCGCGGAGCCAAACGCATGGTGGGCGCGACGCATCGGAGGGCCCTCACGGTTGTTCGCAACAAGCAGGGCGAGTCAAGAAAACAGATGGCCCGACATACACCAACCATTGCACAGCGAAGTGGTGGATGATTCCGATGTCGGTAGCGTCGCCGTCGTCACCGACGCGGCATTGGCGGCGTCGTCGTTCGCGTCGTCGTCGTTCGTCGTTCGTCATTCGTAGTCGTCGTCGTCATTGTCGTCATTGTCGTCGTCGTCGTTTGTCGTCGTTCGTCGTCGTTCGTCGTCGTTCGTCGTCGTTCGTCGTCGTCGTTCGTCGTCGTTCGTCGTCGTTCGTCGTTGTCGTCGTCGTTCGTCGTCGTTCGTCGTCGTTCGTCGTCGTCTTTAGCGCCGTCGTAGCTGTCTTCACGGGCGGGGCCCGTGCGGGCGCAGGCAGGGGCGGGCGGGTGCTAATGGAGGCTGACCCACACTGGGGATGGAGATGCGTGCCCTAAAGGGGCCCTTCTCTTCGCCCTCCCCCCATTGGGCCACCCCCCATCAGCACCCGCCCGACGGCAGCAGCAGGCAGGGGTCCGAGAGTGCGGCGGGCGGGCGGCGCGGCGCAGAGCCCCTGCGCCGTGCTCGGGGGCGCGACATGGCCAGGGGATGGGCGGCGACCCCGCCCTGGCCCCGGAGGCGAGGCCGGTGGAGGACCGGCAGCGCCGCCGTCGTCGGCGGCATCGGCGCCGCTGCCGTCGTCTCGCACTCGGCGTCGGCGCCGTCGTCCCCAGATCTCCCGCGATATGATTGCGTCGATTCTCGGGGAAGAAAACATGGCATAAACATAAACGTTTGGCGCTCCGCGCGGATTTCTGGGATCCGGGATCCGCGCTGGGCCTCCCCTGGCGCCGCCCCTGGTGCCGCCCCTGGCGCGCTCCCCTCGCCAGGGAAGGGGGGGGTCCAGCGCGGCTCCAAGAAGTCCGCGCGGAGCGCCAAAGTTTATGTTTATGCCGTTTTTTCTTCCTCTACACTCGACGTATGATGTTCCAACCTGCTTTAGTTTTGAGCACCGGAAAGAATTTCGAGCACCAGGAAAGTACGGAAATTGGAGGGTTTTCGCGTGTCGGGCCTTGGGAGGCGATACTCGTTCGACACGGTTTCGATACTTTTCTGGGTGCTCGAAGCTATTTCTGGGATGTGGCCCTTCAGTACGATGGGGGCGACGTAACACTCGACGTCGGCGCCATCGCCCACAGATCGCCGACGGTATATGACTCTGTTTCGATCCGGGCGTGCTTCTTCGAGTTCGGCCTTTGTGGCCCGAGGGTGGGCTCCTGGGGGGCCAGCCATGGGTCTGGGACGGACGCGCCCCCGCACCCACGGGGAAGGGGTCGGGACCTCTGGGGCCGCGGAGCGACGAGAACACATCGTCGGACGTTTCCATCGTCGCCCTCGTCCTTCGTCTTCGTCGCCACCGTCATTCTCCTCGCCCTGATAAGAAGAAAAAAAAGAAGCGTAAGAAAAACGCCACCGTCATTCTCTTCGTCATGATAAGAAGAAGAGAAGAAAAGGAACAACAACAAGAAAACCTCCGCTGATTGGTCAGTGGTTGGCCGCCACCCTCATTGCTATCGCGCACATCGGAGGGCCGTGCCTCCATAGGAACTCTGCTCACGAGAGGCCACAGCATTGAGCCCATTCTATCTCCATGCCAGAGATCATCTGCACTCCAGCGAAAACTTTTTAGGCAGGGGGGAAAGGGCACGCGGCGTGAACACATTTTGCTCCTCCAGCGATGCGAGGCACCATCACGTGGAATGCGGCGGAGGACGCTACACTATTTGTATCCGGACATCTGGTGGACGCGCTCGAGGCCAAATGCGACGGCCCAGGGACAAGGGGCAAGCTAATTGACGGTGCGCACATTATGTATTCTTACGGCGATGTAAGTGTCATGACCGCGTAGCATGCGAACGGGAGGCGCCAGCATGAGATACAAGCCAGCTTATGTCGAACGCGCTCGAGTCGGAAACGGGAGATCCCGGGTGAGGGGCAGACAATGACTAGCGAAACAGCGAGATGCAGCGGCCAAGCACGGGCGCAGGCACGCGCGAGCACATACTTCTCCTCCAACGCGCCGGTGACTCCAGCCGACCGGTGCGATGTGACAGGACGCGTGTTCTACGAATTGGCCACTTCTGGGGGGGGGCGTTGTCAAAATGTTGCTCTCGACTACAAACAGAGCGAGGCGAACGCTCGCACACACACACACACAAACACACACAGACACACACACGCACACACACACACACACTCACACACACATACACACGCGCACAGAGGAGGGGGAGAAGGAGGGGGCAGAGGCGAGGGAGGAGGAGGAGGAGGAGGAGGAGGAGGAGGAGGAGGAGGAGGAGGAGGAGGAGGAGGAGGGAGGAGGGAGGAGGGAGGAGGGAGGGAGCAACTGTTGAGCTTCTTCGTGAACTTCCCTTCGCCAGCAGGATCTGGGGTGGTATTTCGATTGCATGCTGGCGTTCGCTTTTGGCTCTGGAGTTCCAGAAGGTGGGTTCCCAATGCGAGCCCATACCTTTCAAAAGCCTTGCAAAGCCTTCGTTTCACATGAGAGCTTTCGTTAGGCTGGGCAGTGACACATCTAGGACCTCCAGGGCATGTGACGGCAAATGGTGTGCCAAATTCAGCACCTGCTTCATGAGGTACACAACAGTACACAAAAACGTGCGCAGAGTCACATGATCCCTATGTCGTCTGCCTTGATTAAGCGCAGCTCCTCGCAGGACAAATCCATGTCGGACTCCGCCAGCGGGTCAGAAAATATCGAAGGCGCCTACGGCGAATCACCGCCGCCCCCTGTCTTTGTGGAAGCGCCTATGTGGCCGAACGTTGAGGCCAGACCTGCCAAGCTATCGGACCATGTGTTCCCCGAATCGGTTTGGAAAGCAGTCGGGGAACACGTGGGCATCTTGAAGGTCATCTTGGCCGCCTGGAGGCCATTTTGACTCTTTCGAGCCTTCTTGAAGGACGTCTTGGAGGGCTGGTGGGCGATCTTTCGGTGATCTTTGGGGGCTCTGGGGCCGTCTCGGGCCGTCGGAAGGCCGAAAAGAAGGAAATGTCAAAATCAGTCGAAAAGCTTAGGAAAATTAAGGTTTTTGGCCTTGTCTGACCTTCCTGGAGGCCCTCTTGGGGGCCTCTTGGGCCGTCTTGGGCCAGCTTCGAGCCAACTTCGGCCATCTTGGTTGGTTCCTGGCACGTCTGACGCCGTCGGGAGCCGTCTTGGGGGCCTTTCTGGGCCGACTTGGGACCCTGGGGCCGTCTGGGAGGCCATCTTGGGCGTCTTGGAGGCCATCTTGGGCGTGTTGGAGGCCTCTTGGGCCGTCTTGGGGCCCTCTTGGGGCCATCTTGGAGGCCACTTGGGCCGTCATGGGGCCCTCTTGGGGGCCTCTTGGGCGATCTTGGGGGCCTCTTGGGCCGTCTTGAGCCGTCGGAATGCCGAGAAGAAGCAAATCCCAACAACATTCAAAAACCTACCTATGGAAAATCAATGATTTTGGCCTCTTCGGGCCCTCCTGGAGGACCTCTTGGAGGCCTCTTGGGCCGTCTGGGAGGCCTCCGGGGGGCCTATTGGGCGTTCTTGGGCCGTCTTGGACTCTCTTGTGCCGTCTTGGAGGCATACGAAAGCCATCTTAGCCGTCTTGGACTCTCTTGGAGTCGTCTTGACAGAAAAACTAGGGAATTGAGGTCCGTGGCAATCCTCCCGGGACCCCGGCGGGACATGCCGGAGCCCCAGGGGGAGTTCTTTTGGAAAAAGAACCAAAACCAAAACCTAGAGGATTCAGCACGCCAGGCACCCCTGTGATGAATCAACACGGGGCGGCGGATCGAAGACGCCTACGGCGAATCACCGCCGCCCCCTGCATTTGTGGAAGCGCCTATGTGGCCGAACGTTGAGGCCAGACCTGCCAAGCCATCGGACCATGTGTTCCCCGAATCGGTTTGGAAAGCCTTCGGAGAACACGTGGGCGTCTTGAAGGTCATCTTGGCCATCTTGGAGGCCTCTTGGGCGATCTTTCGGCGATCTTTGGGGGCTCTTGGGCTGTCTCGGGCCGTCGGAAGGCCGAAAAGAAGGAAATGGCAAAATCCGTCGAAAAGCTTAGGACAATTAAGGTTTTTGGCCTCTTCTGGCCTTCCTGGAGGCCCTCTTGGGGGCCTCTTGGGCCGTCTTGGGCCAGCTTCGAGCCAACTTCGGCCATCTTGGTGGACTCCTGGCACGTCTGACGCCGTCGGGAGCCGTCTTGGGGGCCTTTCTGGGCCAACGGGGACCCTCTTGGGGCGGTTCGGGGCCGTCTTGGAGGCCATCTTGGGCGTCTTGGAGGCCATCTTGGGCGTGTTGGAGGCCTCTTGGGCCGTCTTGGGGCCGTCTTGGGGCCCTCTTGGGGCCATCTTGGAGGCCACTTGGGCCGTCATGGGGCCCTCTTGGGGGCCTCTTGGGCGATCTTGGGGGCCTCTTGGGCCGTCTTGAGCCGTCGGAATGCCGATAAGAACCGAGAAGAAGCAAATTCAAAAAACTATAGAAAATCAATGATTTTGGCCTCTTCGGGCCCTCCTGGAGGACCTCTTGGAGGCCTCTTGGGCCGTCTGGGAGGCCTCCGGGGGGCCTATTGGGCGTTCTTGGGCCGTCTTGGACTCTCTTGGGCCGTCTTGGAGGCATATGAAAGCCATCTTAGCCGTCTTGGACTCTCTTGGAGCCGTCTTGGAGGCCGTCTTGGACCATCCTGGGCGGACTTGGAGGCCATCTTGGACCATCTTGGAGGCCATCTTGGGCCATCTTGGCCATCTCGGAGGCCATTTTGGAGTGTTCCCCGAATCGGTTTGGAAAGCCTTCGGGGAACACGTGGGCGTCTTGAAGGTCATCTTGGTCGTCTTGGAGGCCTCTTGGGCGAACTTTCGGCGATCTTTGGGGGCTCTTGGGCCGTCTGGGGCCGTCGAAATGCCGAACAGAAGGAAATGTCAAAATCCGTCGAAAACCTTAGGACAATAAATGCTTTTGGCCTCTTCTGGCCTTCCTGGAGGCCCTCTTGGGGGCCTCTTGGGCCCTTTTGGGCCAGCTTCGAGCCAATTTCGGCCATCTTGGTGGGCTCCTGGCACGTCTGACGCCGTCGGGAGCCGTCTCGGGGGCCTTTCTGGGCCAACGGGGGACCCTCTTGGGGCGGTTCGGGGCCGTCTTGGAGGCCATCTTGGGCGTCTTGGAGGCCATCTTGGGCGTGTTGGAGGCCTCTTGGGCCGTCTTGGGGCCGTCTTGGGGCCATCTTGGAGGCCACTTGGGCCGTCATGGGGCCCTCTTGGGGGCCTCTTGGGCGATCTTGGGGGCCTCTTGGGCCGTCTTGAGCCGTCGGAATGCCGAGAAGAAGCAAATTCCAAAATCCTTCAAAAAACTATAGAAAATCAATGATTTTGACCTCTTCGGGCCCTCCTGGAGGACCTCTTGGAGGCCTCTTGGGCCGTCTGGGAGGCCTCTGGGGGGCCTCTTGGCCCGTCTGGGGCCGTCTTGGACTCTCTTGGGCCGTCTTGGAGGCCGTCTTGGACCATCTTGGGCGGATTTGGAGGCCATCTTGGACCATCTTGGCCATCTTGGAGGCCATCTTGGAGCCGTCTTGGGCAGAAAAGTAGGGAATTGAGGTCCTTGGAAAAAATCCCCGGACCCCGGCAGGACAGGCCGAAGCCCCAGGGGGAGTTCTTTTGGAAAAAGAACCAAAACCAAAACCGAGAGGATCTAGCACGCCAGGCACCCCTGCGATGAATCGACAGGGGGCGGCGGCTTTAGTGGCCTTCGGCTCATTGCGCCACCGTGCCTTGGTTGTAGGTCAGAAGCCTCTTGAGTGCATGTGGTAATCTATTTGGATGCCCCTCTGAAGCCTAGGGGGCGGTTTTGGGGTGTTTGAGGGGCCTCTCGGGGGCCTCGGGGGATTCTTGGGGGCCTGTTGGAGGCCTCTTCGGACTTCCGGTGGGCCTCTTGGGGGCCTGCTGGCAGTATCGGAGGTCATCTTGCGCCGGAGGGCTCGGAATGTCGGTTCGTGTTTACCCTCTGGGTCCCATCTCAAACCTTTCTTGGAGCACTCTTGGGCCGTCTTCAGTGCGTTTTGGGTCGTCTTGGGGCCCTGATGGGCCGTCTGGGAGCCGTCCCTCTTGGGCCATCTTGGAGCATCGGCGGCTCGAAAAGGTGGGAGTTGTAAGATCCTTCAAGAACCAAAGGGGGAACAATGATTTTCGCCTCCCGGGGCTCTCCTGGGGGTCCTCTTGGAGTGAGTCCCCGTGGAACGTCTTTGGAGCCTCTTCGACCGTCTTGGGAGCCTCTCGGGGCCCTCTTCCACCATCTTGGAACCGTCTGGTCTGAGAAAGAAACACGGGAACATGTGCCAATCCCTGGAGGAAACGTCAATTTGGGCCCAGGCCCTTTACGACTCATTCACACAAGGCTGAGGACGGAGAGCTCCAAGGGACCTGAGGACACTCTATCTCGTGCCTCAGGGGGCAGTGGCGGATATTTGTGCGCAGCACCTCCTCAACTTTAGCGACCTGTTTCGAAATTATCGTTCTTGCTTGGCCAGTTTCTCACGCGGGCAACTTAGCGTTAAAATTCCACGCCTTCAATTCGTTGTAGCCAATCTCCAAACAATCGCCCGAATCGTTGGGACTTCAAACAAAGTGCGAGCACCCGCGCACAGTCAAATGCAGAGACGATTCCAGCTTGGCACGCCCTGGTTGAATTTCACATTATTCGACGCACGCGGGGCAGATCACAGATGAGTTCTAGCATCAGTGGTTTCGGCGAGCGCAATGCGAGCAGCGCAACGTGGATATCGAGGGCAGTGTCGTTTTCAGGAGGTCCAGGATGAAGAGTTAAGATACTTTGCTTGAAAGCGCTCTGGAACGCTTTGAGAGCCTTCCGGACGCTCTGGAACAGCCGAGGTGCCCAGTGCATTTTCCAGATCCGCCAGTTCGCAGATAGTTCGATGTAGCCTCATCCGAAATTGTTTTCATCTTGTATTCGTTTCAGGGCGAACGCAGTTCGACCAGGTCAACGTGTTTGTCGAGAACTGGGTCGTTTTACCTACAGCTAACGCGCGGCCGACATATATATATATATATATTACAGCGCGTGCAGGCACGTAGCGAGACCTCGGGAGGGCGAGCTCTGATGGAGGCTCTCGAAGGCAAGCTTGTTTTTACAAAAGCCCGCGGGACCTGCAGCAATGCATGCATCGGAGCTCAGGTCTCATGAGCTCGCCGCCCCGTCCTACACATCGGAGGGCGCCAGCTATGCACCTGCAGGCCGATCCTGGGCCCATGATTGGCGTATGTGTTTTCTCTTGAGCAAGCCAGGAGGGCGTGCACACCGATCCAGGGCCCAAGATGGGTCTGGCCAGCATCCGTAGCCTGCTTGGTTCAAGCGGGCTCAGATACGCGCGGTGCGCCCGAGGGGGGCCGCTCCGGGCGACGCGCCGGCGGGCGGCTGGGCTGCCGGCGGCCGCGGGGCCATGGCTGCGGGGGACAGGACGCTTCGTTTCGCAGTCAACGATGCAGTCGACCACACCGTCGGCCGGCACGACACTGCGTCTCGCACCTACCAGCAGGAGCTGGAGAAAAGGAAGACCAGGCAACGCGCCACGATGGCGTACCAAGCAGGGGAGCAGGGCGACATGCGCGACCTCATCCTGCTGAGCAGCGTCGAGAGAAGAGAGAGGGTGGAGCGCCTGCCGCTCCTCTGGGGGAGCGTCATCTGGCTCGTCGTCGCGATCTTGGCTATGTTCTTGGGCTACTTCTTCGCCCCGCTCCAGAAGCAGCAGTACAGGTTCGTCGGGCTGCACCTCCTGGCCGTGGGCCCCAGGGCCGAGTGGAAGTGCTCGCTGATGTGGTGCAGCCTGAGCTTCGACAAGGCCGACAGGAGCTGCAACCTGCTGCGCAGAGCTTTCTTGTCCGAGCAGTGGGAGGACAAGCCCGGGCTTGGACTCGAAGACTTCGCCATCAGCATCGATTCCCTCTGCGAGGGCGATTCCCTGGACATCGTGACCTACAAGATGCCAAGCCTGTGCAACTCCGAGGCGAGTCTCTTCTTCAGCCAGGCGTGCAGAGTGTCTGGGTTCCTGTCCCCCTGCGGCATGGTGGCCGCGGCTTCCACGATCTGCACCATTCTCCTGGTCGCGGCCTTGGTCACGCACGCGATAGTTCTGTGGTTCTTGGTGAACGACTATCAGCTGCTCGTCCCACCCTCGAGAGTGGAGCCCCGCTGGAAGCTGCCCACGAAGCTCAGGAGCGCTGCGAGACACTGCTCTAGGATGTGCGGCATCGCCGCGCTCGCGACTGGCCTGATCTACTGTGCGATGATCCACTGGATCGAAGCCGACGGTGGCTTCCTGACGTTCACCGCGCTGGGCTACGTGCTCACCGCCCCGGAGCAGCGGGCGATCACACCCGGGGCGGGCCTCTATGCGCTCGTGGGCATCGCCGACGTGTTCATCCTTGCCCTGATCGGTAAGGAGATATTCAAGGCGCCGGTGACCCCCTCTGGCCTCACGGCGGACGAGCACAAGCAGATCGAGCAGATCGAGATGCAGGCGAACCAGCAGCAGTTGCAGCCGCAGCAGCCGAAAGCGCAGCCGCCGCAGGCGTTGCAGCCGAGGCAGCAGCCGCTGCAGCAGCCGCTGCAGCTGCAGCATGTGCAGCCGCCGCCGCCGCTGCAGGTGGTGCAGCCCTGGGCCGTTGTGCGGTCTGCAGGGTTCCCGGCCGCGCCGGCACCCGCGCCGCCCGGCTTCGGCGTGGTGGCGGCGCAGCTGCAGCAGCAGTCATTTCAGAGGCAGCAGCCCTGGCCGACGGGGTGGCAGCGCCGCTGACGGCCGCAGCCCCCCTGGGTATGTGGCGATGAGGAGCCCCAGCAAGAGCACAGTGAGTAAGGGAGCGAGTCTAGCCGGAGTACAGTAGGTAGGTGCTCAAGGCAGTTGCTGAAAGGCGTTTCTCGCCCAAAGCTCTGAACAGAGAGTAGTTGGGCTCGCTCGCCATGGAGCTGAGCGAGGAGGTGCCCTCGCTGGCCACAGCACTTGCCGCCGAGCAGGTGTTCTCGCTAGCCACCGCGTTGCATTCTCTCTGGCCCCGCACGTGATCGGACGCGCCCTGGCGCTGGCGCAGAAACAGCACACAACAAAAAACAAAAGAGATGGGTCTGGCCAGCATCGGTGCAGGAGAATACGGTCGGGAATTGTTGTTTAGCGTGTTGCACCGCCGGTTCTGGTCGGCGCGACAGTCGAAACACGTCCCATTTCCGAGCGTCAACGTCCCGAGCCTCTCAAGGTTTCCCGCCCTGCGGAGCGGAGCGACACGCTATCCGCTTGCACGGACTTCTGTGTCGCCAGGACCAATGACGCGACACGCCAAGCAAAAATCCCTGGCTACATCAGCCGCCCACCCACCCACCATCGGGGCTCTCGCCAAAAGAAGACCTCGCGGCAGAGCAGGTGCGCCAGCCACCGCTCCACGACGGAGGAGCAGCGGGCGGGCGCTGCCCTGTGCAGCGGAAGAGTATGTGCCGACCTCTGCGGTACATTTGATTTGCACGCGCGCAGGGGCCACAAGCGGGCAACTTGTGTGGCCCGGCACGGCGCGCTGCCATGCGACACCGAAAGCGAGGTTGGCCCGTGAATCCGATTACGCTTTTTCATGTGTAATCTCTTTGTGCAGCCAGTGCCCGCATCGGGACCTGATTGTCGCAGAACCCAGAACTCAGACCGCACCGCTAACCAGCCATACCGTTTGTTTGGCCTTGGAGGAGGCGATCGCAGCGACCTGTTGACAACGGCGCGCGCGATTGGCAGACTTAGGCTGGCAGCTACTCTGTCGAGCACCGTGCCCTGCGTCAGGGCATCTCTGCAGAACGTGAGACAGCACGAAGGCACCTCGAAGAATAGCATTCCATCACAAGCGCAACGCGACAGATGTATCGGTGCCAGGACCCGCCCTGAGCGGACAATGTGACATGTTGAGGTCGGTGTTTAGGTGTTTGCTCCGAGTTGTCGATCACTGCAGCTGCAGCTGTATTCGTATCATGGCTGTAGATGCAGCATTTCGATCGATTCCTATCCCAGAGCCGACACGTCTTGGGAACATAGTTTTCTGCATGCGGATGGTCGAGCAGGACGCGTTGTATCGGCTTTGAGCTCGGAGCCCAGAAATTGTATGCCATCATTCTGCGCAGCATTATCGGCAGCGCAGCATGGGGACGGATTCGCTCTCGACGAGGGAAAAATAAGCGTACACACATGTACTGTAAACGTCGATTCCAAGGCAAATATGGGGAACGGTGGAATGTGGAGGGGAAAACGAAAATCCGGAAACTATGTAACAATAGGAGGAATCCTGGGTTTTGTGTTTATTGATATAATCGCTTCGCTCATTCCGCCGGCCCATCTTGCATCAGTGGTGCGATATATTTGTGTGTTCGCGGCGAGCGAAAAGAGCGAAAAGGAGGAGGACGAGGAGGAGGAAGAGGTGGGGATGAGGATGAAGAGGAGGTCTCCCGATTGCTGTCTTGATAAATTATTGTAGCGCTGTTCGTTCGAGGGTTGAGGTTCGTTGACGCAGAGGGGGAACAAAAAGGATATGGAAGGAAGAAGGAAGGGTTGGTGAGACGATAGGGACCAGACTTGTGCTTATGTATTGGCTTCCGCAGGGTGTCCTGAGGTCCGACAACTTTATGTTCGGCGTCGCAGCCCCACCCCACCCCCTCCCGACTCCAGGATGACGCCCCCTTCCCCAGTCATCACCGTCCTCGCTGTCCATAGGCAGACCAGTGCCCCCTCCGCCCCGATCACTTATTTTTTCACCCACCCATCCACCCACTCCGCACACCCCCCGCATCCCTCACAGGCCCCTCCGCCACCGCCCGCTGCAGCCCAGTGCCCCCTCCGCCCCGACCACGTTATATATTTCGCGTCGCAGCCCACCCACCCTCCCCGCAGGCCCCCCGCCACCGCTCGCTGCCCCCGCTGCCCTCCAACAGCCCAGTGCCCTCCGCCCCGACCAGTTTGTTTTCCACGTCGCAGTCACATCTCCCCCCCGAGCGGGCCACCGCCACCGCCACCGTCCTCGAGCCCCCCCCCCCACCCCCCCCTCGGCATCGTACCGCCCTTACCCCCTGTCCCCACTGATGCCCCCGCCCCCGCCCCGATGTACCCACCGTCCTCCAGCAGCACAGTGCTCCCTTCCGCCCCGACCTCTGTACGTTTCGCGTCGCAGCCCCACGCCCCCTCCCCCTCCCCATGTTTCCATCGTTTCCCCCGCCGCCCCGCCCCGCACCCTGTCCCCACTGTCCTCCAGCAGCCAAATGCCCTTTCCCTCCCGACCATTTTCTTTTTCGCGTCGCAGCACACCCTCCCTTCCCCCTCCCCGCCCCAGCGCCCCCTCCGCCCCGATCTGTTGAATTTGCACGTAGCAGCCCACCCACCTCACCCGCAAGGCCACCGCCACCGCCCGTTGCCCCCGCTGCCTTCCAGCAGCCCAGTGCCTTCTCCGCCCCGACCACTTTACATTTCGTGTCGCAGCCCCACGCCCCACAATTCCTTCCCCCACCGCCCCCCCCCGGCAGGCTCCCGCCCCCGTCCCCTCTGCCTATATTGCCCTCCAGCAACCCAGCGCCCCCTCCGCGCCGACAACTTTAGTTTTCGTGTCGCAGCCATCCCCCCCTCGCGGGCCACCGCCGCCGCCAGAGTCCTCCAGCCCCCCCTTCCCGCCCCCTTTCCCCTCGGCATGTCGCAGCCACTACTTCCCGTTCCCGCCGAGGCACCCGACCCTGCCCCCTGTACCCACTGTCCTCCAGCAGCACAGTGCCCCCTCCGCCCCGACCATTTTATGTTTTCGCGTCGCAGTCTCCCCACTTCCCACCCATTCACCCACACTCCCCCCAGCAGCCCCCCGCCCCCGTGTCCCCGTTGTCCTCCAGCGACGCAGTGCCCCCCCTCCGCCCCGACCACTTTGTCTTCCGCGTCGCACCCCCCCGCCTTACCCCTTTCTCCCCCCCCCCCCTCCACCCACCCTCCCCGTAGGCCCCCGCCCCCGCCCCCGTATCCACACTGCCCTCCAGCAGCCCTGTGTGCCCTCCGCCCCGACCACTTCATTTGTCGCGTCGCATCTCTCTCCCCGCCCCCTCCCCGCCGCAGTGCCACCTCTGCCCCGACAATTTAGCGTGTCGCGTCGCAGCCCACCCACCTCCCCCGCAGGCCACCACCACCGCACCTGGCCCCCGCTATCCTCCAGCAGCCCAGTGATCCCTCCGCGCCGACCACTTTATGTTTCGCGCCGCAGTTATCCCGCCTCCCCTTCTCCCCCACAGGCCTCTCCGCCACCGCTTGGTGCCGTCCCGCAGCCCAGCGCCCCCGCTGCCTCTACTTTTTTGCCCGCATCACAGCCCGCCCACCTCCCCCGCAGGCCCTCCGCCACCGCCCGCTGTCCTCCAGCAGCCCAGTGCCCCCTCCGCCTCGACAACTTGTTGTCGCGTCGCAGCTGCATTCCCACCCCCCTTCCCCCTTCCGCGGGCTATCGCCACCGACGCCGTCCTCCAGCTTCCCTCCCCCCTCCCTTTCCCTCCGCATGCCTCCGCCTCTTCACCCTGTCCCCACTGAGGCCCCCGCCCCCGCCCGCTGTCCCCACTGTCCTTCAGCAACCCAGCGCCCATTCCGCCCCGACCATTGTATTTTTCGCGCCTCAGCCCCCCCATTCCTCCGGATCCTTCACGGCCATTCCCCCGCAGAACCCCGGCCCCGCAAGCTGCCCCAATTGCCCCATTGCAGCCCAGTCCCCCCCCCCCGCCCCGACCAGCATCGACAACCCCCCCCTCCGTTTCCCCCTCCGCAGGCCGCCGCCCCCGCTTTTTTTCCTCGCCACCGTCCTCCAGCAGCCCAGTGCCGTTTCCGCCCCAGCCCTTTTCAACTTTCGCGCCGCAGCCCCCACTCCACGCCCCTCCCTCGGCTGGCCACCGCTCCCACCCCTTTATCCCCCTTGTAGGCCCCCGCCCCTGCCCCCCCGCCTCGAACCTTCAACTTTCGCAGGCCACCGCCCGTGCCCCCGGTCCCCACTGTTCTCCAGCAGCCCAGTGCCCCCTCCACCCGGGCCCCATCACTTTCGCGTCGCATTCCCCCCCTTTTCTCATCCCCTCCCGTCACCTTTTCCCGACTGCCCCCAGCAGCCGAGCGCCCCTTCCGTCCCGACAATTTATTTCGCGGCGCGCCACTTTCAACCGTGCGGAGCTGTCTTGAGCCCATATTGGAGGCCATCTGAAAGCCTCGGAGAGCCTCCTTGGACCTTGGAGGCCTCCGGGGAGCCTCTTCAATGTTTTTTGGGGTTCCCGTGGACCTCTTGGGACCCTTTGTGGGATCCTTGGGTGTTTGTTGGGCCCCCCCTGGGAGCATATTAAAGGTCTTTGAAACCGTCTTACGGGGGACGTCCCTTAGAGTCTGCGCGAGCTCGCCCTCTGAAGCCCCTATTGCGGACCTCTTTGTCCCCTCCGTGCCCGATGTCTCGCCCTCTCTTCCCCACCGTCGTCCTCCACCTCCTCCTCCTCCTCCTCCTTCTCCTCCTCCTCCTCCTCCTCCTCCTCTTCCGTTGCCATTTTAGCTCAAGCCATTTTGGCTCAAGCTATTTTGGCTCAACTTCGAAACGTGCGACCCTGGCGCTTCGAATTTGGACGCGGCCGAGGGGTGGCCCAAGCGTCCCATCTGAGATCAGGCCTCACTTTTGAGCCGTGCGCCAAAGTACGCGACCTTTCGGCATGTTGCACCATATGTGGTCAGTATTGCGCGAATCGCTCCAGTCTGTCCAGCCATGGGTCGTGCTGCACGCCGCTCTGCTCGTGGAGCCCGTGTGACGGAGAGGTGCACCATGAGGCCGTCTGCTGCACTTCGCCGTGGGCACCAGCGTCATTCCGGTTCCAGTTCAGACCGTGGCACGAGCCGTGATGACAGTCGGGATCGCAGCCGTTCTGAGTACAGCCAGGGCTCCAGGCGCCAGCCCAGCCCACGCGGGCAAGCGCCGACCGAGGCGCCCAGCTGGCTCAGCGACTTGGTGGAGAGTGTCAAGGGCACCAACAGTGCGATTGTCAAGCTCGAGCAGAACATGCAGCAAGAGGTCGGCAACATGCGCAGCGCGCTTGTCACCCATGACTCGAACTTCAGGGCCGTCAACGAACG